AGCAAACAATAATTATGCAATGGAAATCAGGTTCCAGAGAAGGAACCAAGTATCACTTAGAACGTAAAGCTTGAGATTTTAATGGAGCAGAATGGCTATGTCTTGGTTTTAATTGGATTTCCAGCACTATCGCTCCCCGCCCCCCAAGGAAAATGAATCTTTTGCAGCATAATAATGTTTACATGCTATTTCTTAAGATTGTGTGATAATTGTTTGCTTTTATCAGAAGCCTTTCACATTCCCAATCCTCACAATTCAGCATAAACATACACATGCACACACATGCACAATCCAATGCAAGAGATTACATGGATTTTATTTAAAAAAACAACAATGACAGCACATTTTTATAATTTAGAGTTATGAAAAAGGGATTTGGCAATAGGGGATTCTGAATCATTGATGATAGATGAATATTGCCTTCTGGTTATAGGCAGCATAACGTAACTACCAGCTGCCACTTCTGAACATACATTCTTCATCCAGCTAAACTCTTCTTAGGCCTGCCTCTTATTATGTAATGTTTATAGTGCAAATAAATCCATAAGCTCAACTCTACTGTAATAGCTATAACAAATGAAAAAGGCAAAAAGCACAGAGTTCAAAAAAAGGCTAGTGAATTGCTACAAACAAGCATACCTTAAACTTTTGAGCTTTTTGCAATTGGCAATTCTGAGTTAAGTTACAAAGCTGCCTATAAATGAACCACAAGTCAAAGGACAATGTTTAAAGTCAATTTTAAAAAAAGTTGGAATATAAGATTTTTTTTAAAAAAAACTTATTTGGTAGATATTTCTTTTTGCTTACTATCTGCACAATCAAGAGATTCATTAGAAATAGCCAGAATGATAACTACTATTAGACTACTTTTGTGCTGCCTGATATACCTTAAGGTTAGGGTTAGGCTTAAACAAAACCAATATGGTGTAGGGACTTAAGAATTGGATTTGTCTAGGGAAACATATTTTATATCCCTGCTTACCTAGAGAACTTGCCTCTGCATATCCATGAAGGAAAAGGAGGGAGGAAGAGAGGGAAAAGAATATATGAGACATATTAAATTACTGTTCTGAGTTCCTTGAGGCTGAAAAAGTGAATGCATTAAATAACATGTGCAGAGCTGTTCTTTAACTCTTGTACTGTATCAGGAAGTGATTTTGACTGGAGCATATTTCCTCATAAGCTATACTCAAATCCTTTCCAAGAGAAACAAGAAAAACAAGAACAGACTCTGTTGACATCCTGGCTTTATGAGTAGGCACATGAAATAAGTTGAGAATAGCCATATATTTCAGTGGCTGGAACTGTGTATAAACCCTCAGACGAGTAGTACCAATTATTCATTTGATGGAAATATTGTACCCTGTTCCTCATGAAATAATCCCCATCACAACTTCAAGTACTATTCTTCTCTCCTTTTGACAGTTCCACAATTTTGTAAATTTTGTAAAACTCTACTGTGGGTTAGAATTGCTGATGGCTAAAGTGATGCTTCCCCACCAGTGGTGGGTTTCAAATTTTTTTAGCCAGCCATGTGACCAAGTGGGAGTGGCTTGGCATTCATGTGACTGAGTGGCCATGGCCAACTTGTTAAATGTGGTGAAACACACTTAACAACACTTTTCCTTAACAACCAAAATGTTGGCTCAGAAACTCTGGCATTGAAGTGTGCATCTTAAAGCTGTTACAAGACTCTTGCACCCCTAATCCTTTAGAAAAAAATCCAGGGATGTTCAAACTTGACAGCTTTAAGACTTTAAGGTTTAAATAGGACTTGTGGGCGGGGTGATTGGTGAGCCAGCCAATCAGTGAGCGGTGGGCGGGGCAAGCATGATGTGGATGGGCAGGGGGAGGGAGCTGGAACCAGTTCTAAACAGCATGGTAGATTTGTGGAACTTCTCCTATAGAAGATGTCAGAACTGGCAGGAGCCCGCCCCTGTTCCCCACCCAAGATACACAACTTCTCTAGATATTCTTCTCAGCGCAGATAATTCAGGGATCTGATTAGGTCTGGCTGTGTAGACAAGAGAAGTAGGAAAGGGGAGTTATTGGTACAATGGATGAGTCTTCATTAGAAGTGGGTTCCTATCTATTCGGTCTGGTTCAGCCGAATAAGTAGTAACTCCGGCAGACACATGATCATACCAGTTCTATGATCGGTGGCACCATCTTGATTTTCCGTTCTGCACATGCGCAGAATAATCTTCATTTTAAAAATGTAATTTTTATTCATTTTTTAATGTTGTGTGCAGGTCATTTTAAATGAAAATGTGCACGGGTGCAGAACACAATTTTTTTACTACCGAACTGGTAGCAATGGTAACCAAAACTCACCCCTCGTCCTGATTCTCCCATTGCCAAGAGCCCTGAAAGCCCTGAAAACCCGTGACCAGAGACCAGAGGGGCTAATAGGAGCCAGGCAGTCCCAAATAATACTTAGATATGTAGAGCTATAAATAGCTTGCATGGCCTAGTTTGTGCACCACTTTAAAACTGGAACAGAAAAAGTCAAGTTAATTCTGTCTTCTTGATGGATCAGGGGCTATCTGAAAACCCAATTAATATTAGGATAAGTTATTGCAGTGTTCAGTACATCCAAGTCAGGATTCCCTGGAGTCTTAGTTGCTTATAAAAATGTTCTTTTGACTCTTTTCAGTTTTTTCATAGCACTGAGAATACCTAAGAGATGTTTTGTGTGGGAATTTCCATTTTAGTTTTAAAATGTACACTTTCTCTGGGGAGGTATTGTAGGGCTATTGCTGAAAATGGAATGTTATTCCATGCTTTATGAAAGAGGCTTTAAGGACATCTTCCTACCATGTATTATGTTACATTACTTTAACAATATTTCTGAATACTGCAGTCAATACTGCTACAAACTACATTTTTACCTGTGTGTATTGCCTGAAACTTCAGTTTATACTCTACTAATAAAAGCTATTTGCTGGTGCTTCAGCATCGGTATTGCTGTAATACCAATTTCTGAAGTATTACACTTTGATATCAAGTGTTCTTCTGGATTGCAGAGCTTAAATGTTGAAGCCATATTGCTCAGTTTTAAAATTACTATAAATATGAAGTCTGTAAAATACTCATCATTGTATAATGATGGTATTGTTTTTTCCTATAAATGCACCAAAAATATATTGAAACAGTTGTTTTTCCCTCAACCTTTTGTAGTTTTTGTTGTAAGCCAGATATCTATTCTCCCTTTCCACACAGCCTCCCATACTTAGATAGGGTCTGCTAGATTCCTGATTTTTAGTCCTTAAATTCTTACATGTCATTTTTTATTATTTTTTATCAGAATATAAGATACAAAGGAAAATAAAAAAAAATAATGGAAAACCAGGAGAAGGAAAAAGGACTTCCCATTTTCTTTGGCACAGTAGAAGATAACATTACAAGGTCAACTTTTTACTTTTATACAATAGTATATACTAGCCATTTCTATAACACCGAACCTTTCTAATCAACAAAAAAAAGGCAAAATTTCATTTTTTTCCCCCATCACAAGCACACAGTTCAGAAACTCAAATCTATAAACCTGCTCTGTACACATGGATAATGCTAGAGTGCTGATTCTTGGTTTAAAGAATTCTGTGTATTTGCAATTTAATTTTTTAAAAAACAAAAGTAGTTTAGATCTCTTTCCTAACTTTTTTTTTCTCTTTTTTGTAAGCCGCCCGGAGTCCTTCGGGATTGGGCGGCATATAAATTTTACAAATAAATAAATAAATAACTGGCAATAGAGAAAAAGTATTTGTATAGGCTAGTCTAGTGCTAAGAATTCCTCTCGAACAATACCTAGCACCAGCCTACACAAAGACTTTTACCGGTAATTTCTCCAAAGCTCTGTATGAATGCCAGAGTCATAAGTCATGACTTCTGTGATGTAAAAATCTATCTCTTCCTCTTGGTATTGAATTAAAACAAGTATCTGTCTATAAATCATTTTTTTCTGAAGTCACTGAACCCTTCTGTTAGTTATTTTAGTTTATCAGGGTTCTGTGGCATTAGTGTTATATGCTATGTATGGTTTTTCTCCCACAGTAGCTAGTAAAATAGCTTTACTACCACATTCTTCTCTTCTTTTTATCAATAACAAATATAAAGTTTTGCTTCCACTGCTATCAGTGTTGCAGGTATGTTGAGGTAAAAGACTAGTAATGTGGGTACTAGTTTCTCCATTATCAATGTGCTCTCGCTCTCGCTCTCTCTCTCTCTCACACACACACACACACAAACACATATCATATGTTCTGTTTATAATGAATGGAATAACTTAAGAACAAGTGGCATTATTTATTAAATAATAATTTTGGGGGAATAGAGTAGGGTTACTCTTTTCTCCTTTCTCTTCAACAGACTGTATGTTTTTCTCCATTTCTGTTCCTCTTCTCTAATTCTGTTTCTATTTTCTGAACTATGTGCATTGCATATTCTAGTAAAATAGGCTATTACTCTAATAAATCCCAGATTACATGGAGAGCTGAATCTGGGAAGGACTTTGGGAAACACAATTCTTAATAGAGTTGAGACAGAAATGTATTTCAGAAGTATTTTGAGTACCCACAGACTACTAAAAACCCCTTCTCTGAGGGCCATTTGTGGCCCTGGTCCCCCAACTGAGGACACATACTACAAATATCTTGAATTTGCTTTGAATTCTCAGTCAACCTCAATTATTTTGCCTGTTTATGTAGAATCACATTTTCATTTTCATATTAAAGGTGCTCTCTTACTATTTTGAAATGAAATGCAACCAGACAAAGATGAAAGTCTTAGGTGGAGCACACCGACTGAAATGATCAATGGCCAGTTTTTCTGGGTGGGTGGTTTTGACAGAAGTTGGCACCATAAGATAAATAAGCCAAGCCAAAGCAAATGTCATTCAGCCAAGTATCAAGTTGTGAAACCCAGCTGAGAGAAGGAGGGTGTACCAGGAAGGAATGCACATAACGTTAAATGTAAAGGTGGATTCCCGGGCCAGCTTATTGCTTTCTTTCATTTTGACATGAACCAAAAATGATGCAAGACAGGAATAATACTGAGAAGAAAAGAGCCAAGAAAAAGGAAGGAGAAGAGTTCAAGGTATTGTGTTCCTCAGGAACATATGGTGGTGGTGGTGGTGGTGGTGGTGGTGGTGGTGGTGGTGGTGGTGGTGGTGGTGGTGGTGGTGGTGGTGGTGGTGGTGGTGGTGGTGGTGGTGGTAGTGGTGGTGATGAAGGAAGTGTCAGGATGAAAGGTTGGGTTTTTCAATTGCTTATTAAAGAGAGCTTAGCTCTTCTTATGCTTCTGTTATGCTTAAGAATGGTATTTATGTTTTCATCATTGTCATCAAACATGTAGGATCGGTTGCAAAAGTTCCAGGATTATATTATACTTTACTTGATAGCATTCTTTATAGAAAGATTCAGGGATACACTCAGGTTTCCTTTAGGGTCATTTCTACCTACAAAGACTGTGAAGGTGAGTTAGATGGATCTCTGGTAATCTTCTGTATCTCTCATGACACTTGTATTTGGAAGGGCAGAACAAGAAGACCTCAAAAGAAAGAGTAACACTTCAGACTTTTATGTGGTTTCTGACATTTCTAGAATTAAATTAAATTAAATTCAAGAGTATCTTCAGGATACAATTAAACAACAAACACCGAGATGGCAACTGTGACAGTGCAATCAAAGCTCCACCTGCTTTGTATGTGTCGTTTTAATCATACTATGGCATCTACCAACTTGACTTTTTTTTTTTACCACACTGTGCAGAATGTTTGTTTGTGATTCAGATGTGGAAAAAGCTGTATCTTTCTCCGGAAGCTTTCCAAAGGCAAAAAAAGAAATAGAGGAGGGAAGAGAATATACTTTTGTGTCTGACTTCAGAACTTCAAGATAAGTTCTGCAGTAAAACATTCTGATGTATTTTATATAGTGAAAGTGATAGCATGGCTAAAAGTGACATTAAGACATTTCATTAAAAATCTGGCAGGAGAGAGAGGGGGGTAGGGAGGGAGAGAGAGGAGGAGGGGAAGGGAGGGGGAGAGAGAGATATTAAACACTTGGTCAATTTTCTAATACTAAAAAAAGTGGATAGTTGAATAATGATAGGTATAAGCCAGTTTGATGCTAGGTAGGCTGTCAAGATGAGGACATTTTCAGCTTACTCACATTTATTTTTGCTCAATTTGTAGATTGTCTCTTCCCTAACTGCCAGCTTTTCCCACAACTGGTAATGTGCTTCTATTATTGTGAACATTGTGAAAGATTAAATGTAAATAATCCCCAACACATCTCGGGTAGCCATTAATTCTGGACACAGGAACACGAGAAAAACACGAACGTTTTACTGACCAGAGCAAAGTAATTCTGGCTGTATATTAAACTTTCTGCTTTATACCCACAAGATGGTGCTGTGTTAATACAAACCGCTTTGTGTTGCACCATTGCTAAAAGGTTTCTTGAAATTGTTTTATTAGGATGGGCACTTTATAACTTATTCCTCTAATATTTATTCTCTACAAATTAAATCTCATTGAGTTCAGTAAGACAATATACCTTTGTGAGTTCAGGAAGGCTGGGACTAATGTAAAACAAAGTGACCAGGCCCACAGAAATGTTTGGGATCACCTGGGAACAGCTGCCAAAATAATTGCAGAAGCCTGTGGGGAGGGTGGAATGGAACAGTTTTAATGATTTGAAGAGAAATGCTTCATTTGCACCACTGCAGGAATATTTTGAGATTTTGAGATTTTATTAATATTTGTAGGCCGCCCTTTTCCCTGAGGGGACTCAGGGCGGCTCACATAAAATCAGGGAGGGGGAAAAAGACAGAGAG